TTGTTTGAATAATATAAATGTTTTTGCAATTGTAGTTCTTTTTTTTTTCTTTTTTCTTCCAAGACACCAATGAAATGTTCCTCTGGGAATGTTTGACTTAATTTTCAAGATAAATTGGGCAATTATCACAGGTGGTCAGAAGGGCAATGGGTCTGTGTGTTTCCAAGAAAGAGAAAAATTCACATACTATTTCAAGTCAAGAAAACAGAGGAAAAATGAGGCTGTAGTCTTGTGAAACTGCAATCTAAAACCTTCTTTTACCTTTGTTTTATTAAATTCATATTCACCTAAATAGTGTTATGAAAGTTTCACATTCTTTTCCTTTCTGGGATTTGGCCAGAGGCCAGGATATTCCAATACTTGCAGATTTCCTTCCAGGAGGATGTCGTCAGTCATTCTGCAACTTGCTTATTGTGGGAAATAGCTGCTTTTAAAATGTACAACCAATCACAAAAGCCTAAAATTGATCCCAAATTTATTGAAATAGTAGACCAAAAGTACATTTTATTTATCCTCTATGAGCAGTGTATATGTGAGTGTGAGAGAAGTGTACAGGCAATGTTACTGGAATTCTTAGATGTGATTCTCATTCCAAACAATAATGCAAGGTATTCAGACTCCAGTATCTTTAGGTAAATTCTTCTAGGACTGGTAGGAACAATTCTATGATCTTAAAACCAGTAGAATCACCTCAAAATTGTGTGAGACTGTGTCTTGAAATCAGTTTTCCTGTTTTTACCTGCTTTTACCTGCTTTTAATGGACGTGGCTTTCTGCCATTAAAAAAAAAAAACCACACAGAACATTTCATACATCGTGTAACATTTCTTTTGAATATTTCCTCCTAAACAAAGTAAAGCAAGTTATTGGTGGTTTTTGGATAAGAATTTGTTGGTGATTTTAGGAGGTAACTCCACAACATGGAGTTCAAACCCAAGCTAAATTACATGTGTGCTGTGAATTGCAAACATATTTTTATAGTTTCCATTTCCTTTTCCAGATGAAAGCTAGCACCTGTTCAGCTCCATACAAGATTTTCCACCAAATATATTCAAGGGTCTAGAAAGAAGAAAGTTGGTATAATAGAATTTCATCTGTCTCAATAAGTTTTAATTACAATGGAGTGATCAAAGAATTGAGGTGTTATCAACATCTTAGACAAGAAAATTCACTAGATGTTCAGTATGACAAAAAAGAATTAACCTCAGATCAGTTTTAGACGTGGAGAAGAGAGAAGTCCAATGTAAATACAATTGATTGACACAGCACCACCTGTAGTTCAAGGAGAATTGTAGGATGATTACTACACCGCATATCTCTCCATTCAGTAACTGCACTTCTTTGAGAAACTTGAAATTTATGATACAAATTTAAACTTCCTTGCAGAAGGTGGAAAGGGTGAGAGAACTCTGAGAATTGCCATTCCTTTTTTAAATAACTATACTACATTATCACAAGATTTTTTTAAGATGTGTTCTAGACATCATGAATAAAAATTTTAAAATTGTTAGCAAAAGAAATACAATATGAACTAAAATAAGTTCTCCACATGCCAAGTCTAGTTGTTCCTTTTTCACCCCTCCACTACCTTTTACCAGTGCAAATTTTCCATTATCAATTTAAGATGCCTGGACTGGTTCCTCCGTCCCTCCCAAGACTGGAGAATTTTAAAGAAATATGACTTAGAAAATACACTCAAAAGTAAAAATTGTAATGATATCAGAGAGTAAATGAATGTACATCACAACTGTACAATGATGTGATTAAATGAATGTTTTATAAGAAAACCAACTGAATTTCAAGTAATATCTGTACTGTCCTCATCTCCTGTCCTCTACATGAAGAGTTTCAGAACAGGTTTCAGTCCGAACCTTCTTTTAAGGAGATGATACTGATGCATTCTTTATGCAGTGACACTTTTCAAGCAATGACAGAATAGATTAGGGGGAGAAGTTAAATGTGTACAGGAAGGTTGCAATTGCCATTATCCTAATAATTTAGTACATTTTTAATGACTGCAATTAATATAATTTTAAATAATGTAAATTATTTACAACAAAGCCATACTGGAAGTAATTGGACTGAATGTCTGAAGTCATAATGTTTAATGATTATGTGTGAAGATGATTTTTAAATTTATCAATGAAGTTTAAAACTAAATTTTGGTTATATTTTTAGTACAAAGAAGAGATGTCATAATTCTTGAACGCTGTCATTGTTAGACAGCCTCTGAATCTCCTACACCCCACCTTGTTCTGAGTCATCCCCACTGCCCTACTAAACAAGAGCCCCAAGGAAAGAAAGATCTATGCATTCTTGTATAGAAATACTTGTCTTGTACATGATTTAGTCAAAGGCTTCTGTTACTTCAGTATGTAATTGCCAGCTGCATTTTTGAGGCATGGAAAAGGCTTCAAGCTCTTGCTCTAAGGCTCAGAAGATTTGTGATATGAGCTACACCAAAACCACGAGATGTAGTCTAGTCATTCAAGCACTTAGCTGATAATAACCCAATGACTATGCTGTGATTCCACTTGGCTATAGCATAAATCTTCCAACTACTGTCCCTGCATTCATTTCATTTAGTGTTTTTCAGCTTCTTGCATTTTGGGGTTGAGAAAAATTCCTTTAGAATCCAAGAAAATATAAACAAAATTGCTCCACATCTTAATCCAGTTCTTAAAGTACATGTGAGGACATGAAGGGCCATTGCAAAGGCAACTGTAATGCTGGTATTGAAAACTGTTCTTTTCAATCTATCATTTGCATCTTTTAAAAACAAAATAGAATAAAGAAAACCGGGTGCCTCTTCGTATATATAGGACATCTCTCAGGATCATGAATCTGTTTCGTTAATTATGCCTAAAAGTGACAGGACATTGTGGCAGTAATAATTATTCCCTTGTTTGTGGATTAATGGAAGGTTGAGAGTCTTTAATCGATCTTGTAGTAGGGATTTCGTATTGAAACAATGCATGAACCATGAATCCTTGTTTCTTTCTGGTTCTGCATCATTATGTTTTTCACTAGTTTTGGGTAGATGGGCAAGTTTCAAACATTTTCATCATGAATAATTACTTTGGATAAATAGATGAGTTTTTCCACCTATGGAGATATAAGAAGAGATGTGTTTGCTTTGATATAGGTATCTTCTTAGTGGCTTTTTAGGCAATTTAAAATATCACATGTAAAATCCAGTTAGCCATTTTTGGATGTCCTGCAGAATCTGAGACATTTGCACTGAGCAGGGAGATCTGACAAAATACTTGCAAGCCCAATACTCTTGGGATTTTGCAGACACAGGTAGACCCTCTGTTTCTTTTTCAAAATTTAATTACCATGCTTTCTTTGACTTGTCTTAGGAAGCCTTTATTCCTCTCTCCTCTCTCTTTTTAACTTCTTTCCTGATTTTTAGTCATACCAGTTCTGCTTTCCTGATTGCAAAGTCACAGCAGCTGTGGTGCAGAAAAGCATCTCAAAAGAAAATTCTAATAGTGGTTTTTATAGTGTACAGTAAAAGGCTCTGATAAAAAATAAAAAATGCTACACTTTGAACAGTATCTCTAACCCAGAGATTTGTTTCTTAAGATGTCTCAAGGTGCCTGTTTTAGGTAATTGAATTCTTTCATTCTTAGTTTCTCAGAGTGATTTTCTACTCTACAGAGATGATTTAACTGCTTCCAAAAGTGATATTACTAGCTTCAGTTAGTGGATTTGAAAAAATAACAAAATCAGCAGCATTGAAAAAAGGACCTTTTACAATGGTTTTGCAGCTCATAAGCTGGAGGCTTGAGTGCTGATACTCTGTCTCCCCTAACCAGGAGTTACCTGCTCAGCCTCGGGTGAAGAGTATGTTCATTTTAGTAGCTTGCCTTTTATAAAACCAATCATGAGTATTAGATGGTTGTTGTTGGGGTTTTTTTAAGATGCATGACTTGGTCAAATCTGTGAATTTTCATATAATCAGTAAGAAACACTTTGCTGATTAGTGACTAGGTTTCACAGCTATTCTTTGAGAAAATTTTCTTGTCTATGCATAACCATCTTTTTTCACCCATATTAGGAAACAAGAATTGTGAATTTCTGCCTGATTTTTTACTGTTGGAAAAAATTTAATGTAGATTGAATAGTTCTGTAACTGTAACACTCTACCCATTGACAACATGAAGTCTTAGTCTAGGAAATCTCTCTGTGAACTGTAATCCAGCTAATATACTTTGTTTTGTTTTTCATTATTGTACAATTATGATTCAGAGGAAATGCTTATTGTTTTTAAAGAAAAATTTTAAGGAATTATTGCAGAAGAAAATAATCTCTTCTTAGAGAGAGAGAGATATCAACCCTTATCCATCTCAAGTATCAGAATTCTTGATGTGATAGAGGCAGTGGGTTGTATGACAAAAGCTATTTGTGATGCATTGTGAAACTTCTCTTTAACTTAGTGGTATATGAAGTAAAATCCTGTTAAATTTAATATCAGTTAGGTGGTTTAAATTGGTTTGAAGTTTCATCTTGGGAATCTATGGTAACAGTAAAACAATTAAAAAATTAGGTTGTGATTATAGGCTAGTTTTGTTTTCACTTATAATTGGAAAGAAGCAAAAATTGAACACTGAGAGGATGGATTTTACACAGATTATTGCCTATCCTTTATAATAAAATGTGCAAGGTGATGCAACATGAAGAAGGTACTTTGTTGCACTAATCATTGGGCAACTGCATGAACTGGAGAAACAATATGTGTTTTCATATTCTGTAGACAAGGAAACTAAAGCTTGCTTAAGGGTGAAACAGAAGACATGACCACCTAACATTTATTTGAAAATCTGAATGAATTACAGTTTGTAAATTATCAGATCATTCTTTTGGGGGAGGTGGGGGGGTGGTGCATTTAAGAAGTTCTGCCTAAATTCAATTTCCTTAGGAAGTCACCAGGGTCAGCTTCAAAAAATGTGGTTTAAAATCCTTGGGTTTTGATTATGTTATGTTTTACCTTCTTAGGAATGGCAAAATTCTATTCAGAAGAATGCAGGACTTGCATTTATTGAGCTCATCAATGAAGGAAGGTAATGAATTTCAAAGCTTTTGAACAAGTAGTCATTTTGCATTTATTCCATTGGGTGATAATACTTCCTCACCATCTGCTCCAAAAAGATTGTGAAAAGGCTGTGTTAATTAAGATATTTATTGTATAGATACTTTATATAGTAAATATTTAATTTGTAAGTGTGTAAATTCTGAAAAATTTGTTTATTGACAGAAGGAAATAGAATTTTCTTGAACTGTATATAAGTTTAGGGTTATTTGAGAATTGAACCACCATTCTCCAGAGCAGCAAGGTTGTTTTACCCAGAGAGTCCAGGGAGCCCAATCTGTAAAACCATCTGCTGCTCCATCTGTTTTAGGAGCAGAGCATTCATTTACAAACGTACTTCTCTACACTATCATTTCATGATTATTTTATCTAGAATTTCCAGTCCAATTTGAGTCCTGTAAACCACACATGACATTATGTTTATATAAGTTTCCTTGATTTTGTAATTTTTTATGAATTTTTATTACCAGTCCTCAAGTAATATTAATTCTATGTGTTCTACTCTGTGCATTGTTTCTCAGTACTTCCCGACAGCAAGCTGGGAAGCAAAGGGAGACTCTTTGGCCTTTCTGGTAGAAGAGTACCTAAGACAAGCTAAACCACTTATGCAGTGTTTCTGATTTGTATTGGCCAATACATTAAATCCACTTGAATCTACACATTTTGTTATGTGCAGCTAAAAAAAAAAAAAATAAATAGCAATACACCTGTTGAAGAGATGCCATTTTATGTGTGATTTCATTTTTCACCAATGATATCTCATTACCAAAGTGAAGTATCAAGTCTTCTCTTTATTGTAAAATATTTTTTTTCTATCTGATATTTCGGTGGTTAAGTCATGCATTTATTTGAAATGAAATTTAGAAAACATCAGAGTATAGAAATATAGGAGTATGAGTATTAAAAAAAAAAAAGTTATTACCCAGTATTTGGCTGCTGTAAATTCTGCACACTGAAGTTATGGTGCTATATAGCAGTAGAAAATGTAAGTCCCTCCATTGGAAATTATTCTTGCTGTGAAGTGCAAATATGAGTTTTTACACCATAATAGGGCTCACCTGAGTGGGTCATGGACTGCACATTGTACAAGAAATATTACCTGGCAACAGACTAAATAATTATAATAAGCTTTTTATTTAAGAGCCACTCCTTAAATCCAATCATAGGAATGTCTAATCAAACTGCCCTTGGACACATGTTCCTCCCTATACTTTTCTCAGAGAGGTGTTTTGGAATAAGTGTGTGTGTGTGTGTTACTGGAATGCTCTTCTTTGCAATCAGCCCGTCTTTTTTTAATTTACCCTTTTGGGAACAAAGATAACAATCCTTTAACTGAAAATTGTTATAAATATTTATTCTAGTTAATAGCTAAACTTGTGAATGCAATTCATCAATCATAGCTAGAGAATGCAATTGTGCAGTTGTCAACAATTAACAGGACATAAAGAGTTGATGAATGTGCAGCTGAATTAAAGTGCTCCCTAGGATAACCTGAAATTATAAACTGGATCATTTAAAGGAATCTAACAAAGGATCTTTATAATTAAAACAAAGCAGGGTTAATGGGATGTAAAATTGCATATAATCACTGTGCAATAATGATTGAATTTTAAATTATTAAAAGCAAAATGAAGACTAAGAATCTTTTGAAGGACTTTCTGGGTAAGCTTTTGAGAGACCTGGGAAATAAATCAAAAGTTTTGGAAAAGACTTTTCTTTTGAATGTGGATGAAAATATTTAGATGTAATGTGGAAGTCCACAGTTTTAATATCTCCAGTTAGACATCTATATTTTAATGGATGCTGTAGATTGATTTTTTAAGTACCTAGCTCTTGTTATTTCTTCCTGAAATAATTTAAGTGCCTTTTAGATCTTTGAATGTATTATGAATGTTCTTAAATAAAATATTTCAATTTAGGTGTAGTTTAAACAATTACAGATATATTCCTGTTAGTTTAACGAACTGCATTTTCATTTTAAATTGGATGATTTACTGTTTCTTGGGCTTTTTGGTATAGATATTGTTTTTTTAGGAAGATCTGAATAACACATAGTTTCGGAATTCAGTACAGAAACACTGATATAGCTTTCTAAAAATAAGAGTGTTGTAACAGCTTTTAATGTAACAAGAGATCTGACTTCAGATTTAAATTAATTCTTTCAAGGTATGTAATACACCTGAAAGATTTAGTGACATCCTGGTTATGATCTTGAACTTTATGCTTCTATTTAATCAGTCTCCTGCTATGAATGTGTGATGTTGAGAGTATCACACATGTCAAGAGCTTCACTGACAGCAGCTTAATTAGGATTTCAGATTTACATTGGTGTGTACATATAAGCAGGCTACACAATTTTAGAGCTGGATGCATCTGCAATGTTGGCTGTGAAAGGAGACATTCCTTAGGAATGATACGTGAGGGAGACTATGGCTCACATGTAAGTGGAGTAGTGATGGATGAGGTCAAAAGAAAATGTCTGCTCACTGACAAAAACAGGAGATAAGAGTACCCACCTTGAGCAAATATGTATACAAATGCATACATCTTGGGCAACTGGGAGTAGAAATTACTCCACATGCAATCACAAAACTATGACATCATTGGAAGGAATAAATAAAATTTGGTGGGACAGCCTGCACTGTGTGTCAAAAGTGCTGCAATAGACAGTTTCCCTGGAAAAGGTAGTCAGAGAAAACGAGGGGGTATTGCCTTCTCTGTGAAGGAGTTTAAATTTTTGAAGTTCTTTAGTGGGATGGAAGATAGTCTGGTTGACAGCATGAAGGACAAGATGAGAGTCCAGAGGAGAGTCATGATGGTGTTACAGACCACTCATTCAGAGTGTGGGAAAGGAAGAAGCATTCTCTAAACACCTTGAAGTGTCTGGATCACAAACCCTAGTTCCTCATGAGGGTCTTTAACCTTCCTGACAACCTCTGGAAGTGCAACAAGGTGGGATGCATGTAGGGAAGACAATTACTGAAGAGTGCTGGGGGTGACTTCTTGATACAGGATGAGGCAGCTTAGAGTGACACATAGCAGGATCTGCTATTTACCAGTAAGCAAGAATTATTTTTGGATGTGATTAATTAGAGACACCTTTGTCTGTACTTGCCATGAAACAGTGGTATTCAAGGCCCTGAGGGAAGTGAGGGTTGAGGGTAGCAGAATGCGAATTCCATGAGTGCAAATCTTAGCTTATTCAGGAAACTGGTCAGTAGGATCCCATGGGAGGCAAATGTGTGCCTCAAGGTAGCTCTCTACAAGGTGTCAGGCTTTTAAGTACAGCATTATCAAAGTGCAGGGACAGTAAAAAATGTAGATATAGCAAGAGAGTGGTTCAGCCAGCAGAAAGAAATTATCATATTTGTATCTCTGATACAAAAAGAGAGTACACAGGAAGTAGAACTAGAAGATAGCTAGAAAGGAGGAATTTAGAAGCATGAGCACGTAAGGAAAATTGTCAGGAAGGCCAGTAGTCAGCTGGAAATGAAACTTGGAAGAGATATCAAGGACAACAAGAGCTTCATTAGTAGACTGACAAAGGGAAATACCTTGTTGAATGGGGTGGATGATTTAGTCACAGATATGACTGAGATGCTCAATGCCTTATTTGCCTCAGTCTTCATTAAATTTTATCAAGGCTTTGTCTTTAGTGAAAGGGTTCAAGAAGGACCTCTACCAACAGTGGATAAGGTTTGAGTCAAGAATTCCTTGACACAACTTGTCCCATACAAGCCCATGGTACCTGATGGGATGCATCTGATGGTTGTGGAAGTCTTTGCGAGGCTGATCACCGATCCAAGTCAAGGAAACTGGGGCAGCTTATGGGTGCCTGGAGAAAGGCGTATGTTACACCCATCTTTAAAACAGTCTTCCAAATCCAGAGAAAAGCTTGTCATTTTTTCTTCTGGCCCTTGGAAGACCATGTAGCAAGTCCCTTTGAAACACATTCTGTCTGCTTGAAAGAGAAGGTAATTGAGAACAATCAACATGGATTTACAAAAGCTAAATCATCCATGGCGGGTTAGCTTTTGGAAAGCTAAAACCAACCTGTTTGCTTTATATCATAAAAAAGATAAAACAATCAAATTTGTGGTCCCAGGAATAACAATGAGCACCATTTATCTTGACACTAGAAAGGTCCCACAAAACTCATGCATCAGTTAGAACTCTACATTCTGAATGGATGGACAGCTAAATAGATAACAGACTTACTGCATAAACAGGGTCCAAGGTTTGTGGTTGATTTGCTGTACCTTAGCTTGGTGTTTTTGACAGAGTGTCTCAAGGATCTATCCTGCCTAAGAGATGGATTTTATAGGTCATGATCTGTTCATCTTTCAGAGCTGAATTACTGTCCTCATCATCCATTTCCTTCCCCCTTATGCTTTCAAAATATTCACCTCTTTAAAGAGATTATCTTGTTCCTTTCATTTAAATATTTTCCTTTACTTTTAACATAGTTTCTTCAATTTAGATAGAAGTAGTTTAATTCTAATATATATAATAATATAAAAATTTAAGGCAACATGAGCCTATTTCTAATCTCAGATTTAAAATTGTAAACTTTGCTCCTGTAATTCCATCTCTGTACCTAAGTGTGCTTTCTGCCTTTAGGCATGAAAATATATATTTTAGCCCCTGTGTGGACCTCTGAGCATATTTAAAATTCACAAGAAGCCATTTTCTTTTAAATCTTGTTTTGTTGGAATATTTTTTAAAAATAATAGAATGTTTAAATAGTCTAGAAATCAGTGTTTCTTTAAATTTTGCTGATTCAGTCCTGGAAGGAGGCTCATAAAGAATTATATTCTTTCCTTTTTACCTCAGCTGGGATTGTAAGGTAACTGCATCAGATTTTCTTTTGAACATCTCTGTTGCAATTTGGCAGTTCTGATATTTTTGGTTTGTGGTAAATTAGTTCTCAGCCATTATTCACTGTCTGCAATACTTAAACATTCAGGCATG